TATTAGCAAAAAACACAACATGTAAATTCTAGATTTTGTCGTTTTATCTAGAATTTGTCTCATGACCCAAGATTCCAGATTCCAGACTCGTGGTTTGCTCTCTCTCTGTCTCTCTCCCTCCCTGGTTCTCTCTCTCTCTCTGTCTCTCTCCCTCTCTCATTTTAAATTTTACAGGAATATCCAGTAACAATACGATAGAAAATCAAGTTTCCCCCAGCACTTTGGGAGGCTGAGGTGGGTGGATCACTTGAGGTCGGCAGTTCAAGACCAGCCTGGCCAACATGGTTCAACCCTGTCTCTGCTAAAAATACAAAAGTTAGTGGGGCTTGGTGGCAGGCACCTGTACTCCCAGCTACTCAAGAGGCCTAGGCACGAGAATTGCTTGAACCTGGGAGGCGGAGGTTGCAGTGAGCTGAGCTTGTGCCACGGAAATCTAGCTTGGGTGACAGAGGAAGAGTCTGTCTCAAGGAAAAAAAAAAAAAAAGCAAACTAAATAACCTATAATAACAAATCAGAGGACTCAGGTTACCAATTTTAAGGGGTTCTATAAGGTTACATAAAGTGTAGCATCCTCATCAGAGGGGATACAGAGAGCCACTGGGCAGAAAAGACTGTCTAAAATACACCCATGGATGCACAGTCCCTTTACAGTTGACCCAGGCTGCCATGTGATTTAAGGTGGAATAGAATTCTCAACAAATAACACAGGGCCATAGGGTTACACGTAGGAAAAAATCAATCTAAACTTATCCTCACACTATAAAAACACTTCTTATTTTTTATTTTATTGTTGTAAATTTTTTATGCTTTATTTTTAAAATTGACAAATAAGAATTATATACAGTCGTCCTTTACTATTCCTGGGTGATTGGTTCCAGGATCCCCATTCAGAGACCAAAATCTGCAGATGCTCAAGCCTCTTGCGTGAAATGGCACAGTGAAGCTGGGCGTGGTGGCTCACCCCTGTAATCCCAGCACTCTGTGAGGCTGAGTTGGGTGGATCACTAGGTCAGGAGTTCGAGACCAGCCTGTCTAACATACTGAAACCTCATCTCTACTAAAAATACAAAAAAAGATTATCTGTGCATGGTGGCACATGCCTGTAATCCTTGCTACTGGGGAGGTTGAGGCAAAAGAATCGCTGGAACCTGGGAGGCGGAGGTTGCAGTGAGCTGAGATTGCGCCACTGCACTCCAGCCTGGGGGACAGAGTGAGACTCCGTCTCAAAAAACAAAAAAAAGCATACTAATTGCCTATAACCCATGCACATCCTCCTGCATACATGAAATCATCTCTGGATTACTTATAATTCCTGACACAGCATACACACCCCACTCCATTTGTGTTCATTCAACATGGTTTTTTGGTTTTGGAACTTCGGGGATTTTTTTTTCTCAAAATATTTTTGGTTTATAGTTGGTTCAATAAACACCTGTAAACCCCACAGATCTGGAGGAGCGACTGTGTATTTATAGTATGAAAGATGATGTGTGGACATGTGTCCCCGTGGAGATGAGACTAACAAGGCCTATGACTCTACAGATGTTTCATCTTGGAATGGCTCTGCCAGCTTTCCAGGTCTGCAGAGAGTAAGAATATCACTTGTTCATCTGATTCACGATCCTTGAAACCTCCTATGAGCTGCATCTGTGGACGGAAATTGGAGTCCCAGAGACAAATCAGGCTCCACCTGCTTCCAGAAGCTCAGAGTCCAGGGGTGAGAACCCAGTGGAGGACATATGGGGTTATATGGACATAGTAATGATAACACCGGTTTCTTTCAGCCAAAACAGAGTCACATTACCTAATGGATGAGGGCAGACATGTTTATTTGAAGAAGAGAAAACTCCATTGAAATTATTTTTAAAAATTTATAAGTTTCACTGCTGACAGAAGGCTGAAAGATAGTCTGGGGGGAGGTGGAACAGCATGAGGGAAGGTGGAACAGCACCTGTCAAGTGCTGTGTTAAGAGGGAGCCTCTCGTATGTTTGGAATTGTGAGTTCCTCAGTGTGACTGCAGCCTCCAGTAGGACTAGGAAGTAAGCCAGTAGGTTGGAGAGGTGGGCAGGAGTCAAGGGAAGTGGAGAATTGTGGGCTAAGCAAAGGAGTGTGTTTTCTTTCCAGCAGGCAGTGAGGACCTTAGACATTGGCAAGCAAGAGAGAGGCATGTTCAGATTCGTGGTGTGAGGAAGAGCGACGCCCTAAGATGCAGAGTCGCGCCTTCAGATTCCTGCTGCTGGTACATTGGAGTTGGCAACCTGGGTTTGAGACAGGGCTGTTGTCTCCCTGGAGGACCCCCTCAAGGCCTGACTGTGGTGCTCATGGGCAGGAGACAATGATCTGGGCTCAGCTGGTGGAAGCTCCGTGTACACGCTGGTATCTGTTGGGGGTCTCTTGGGCCTCTGAGAAGGGCGAGCGATTTTTCTCTGAGTGAAAACGCGGTGATCCAACTGTGCGTATGTCACCTCCTGAGGATCTGGTTCATCAGAGTCCTGCAGAGAGGGAAATGTTGAGTGAGGGAGGGGGTTCCTATTTTTCAGGCCTCTTAGGGAATAAGACTATATCCATGAGGCTGGGGCGAGGAGGGCCTACCTCCCTGTTCACTGTTCTGTCCCCCGCAGGCTCTTGGTCCATTACAGCAGCATCTGTGGGAGACAAAAGTCATCAAAACAGCTGGGAGGACACTTCTGGGTCATCATTTCATGAGCAGAGCCCAACACACAGCGGGAGGTCGTAGGTTTCTGAGGTCCCTCAGCAGCCAACAGCCAGACTCAGACATTCTATCTCTCTGAGCTGAAGGACCCATCCCATGAAGAGCTGTCAGTTCCCATCCCAGTGATTCTGCCTCCCACTTTCTGCCTGTCATGGAACCTTCTCCTGGATGTCAGTGGCTGCAGGGACATGAGGATACAGTTCAGAATCTGGCAATGGTCTGTGAGCTGAAGGCAGGGACAGGGTGTCTGGTGCTCTCTCTAGAAATCCCTGCCTCTGTGGCTCCTGCCTTGGGCCAGAGACCATCTGCCAGTGAGAAACACACACCTGCGTGCTCCCATCCCGCTTTCCCACAGGGCCCTGAGGTCTCTGGCCTCTGCTTGGTGAGACTTACTCTTTTTGTTGGAGCACCAGCGATGAAGGAGAAAGAAGAGGAGGATGGTGAAGGGGATGATGACCACTGAGGACACAATCAGAACATGCAAGTGTCTGGGGATACCTGGAGGAAGACGAGGCACCAACAAGAAGCTAATCATAGCAGTTCCTCTCTATGGATTGTCTCACATTTCTTGATTGACAGGTAGCCATATACAACGTCTCTTTAGGACGTGCACCCACATGGTGGGAGACCCAGGTTTCTCCTGCTTTCTCAGTTATAGCTCTCATAATAACCATAGAATGTGCTGAACATACAACTGCTTTAGTTTACATGTTTGACCCCTTCAAACAGCACATTGAAATTTAACCCCCAATGTGGGAGGTTGGGGCTATTGGGACGTATTTGGGTCATGGAGGTGGATCCATCATGAATAGATCAATGCTGTCCCAAGGAGACAGGGTTAGCAAGTTCTCCCTCTATTAGTTCCTGGAGAGCTGGTTGTTAAAAAGAGCTTGGAAACTCCATTACGCCTCTTCCCCTTGCTCCCTCCCTTGCTGTGTGATCTCTGTGGTCTCTGCACACACAGACCCTCCTTCCTTTCTGCCAGAGTGGGAGCAGCCTGAGGCCATCACAAGAAATAGATGCTGGTTCCATGCTTCTAGTACAGCCTGCAAAACTGTGAGGCAAATAAATCGCTTATCTTCAGAAGTTACCCAGGCTCAAGTGTTCTTTTATAGCCTCAAAAATGGACTAAGACAGCAACGTTCTGAGATCAGGAGGAACGTCCCAGAACAGCTGGGCTGTCTTCCTGTTCTTCCCAGAGGAGGACGCCATGCAGTGCTTTAGCTCAGTGCTTCCTGTGGCTCCAGGGTACAAAACCCAGGCCGGGCTGCTTTGTGGGTTCCCCCACCTGCAGTGCAAATGGGGTGACTCCATATGTCCCGAGCAGCTTTTCTGAGCCTTGGGGGACTGGCTGACACTGAAATGCAGGCTTCTGTTGTCACTTGCTAGTTATCTGTTAGTAATGAACCCACCTTATGTAATGTATTCTCTGTGTGTTCTGTCTCCCTGGAATGATGGTGAGTGACAGAAACTGGCATAGCCCCAGGTGCAGTACAGAAGGTGTTTAGAGTCTTCTCTGGGAAGACTGGACTGGGATTGATACTCAGTGAATGTGCTTTACAATTTCTACAGCCACAACCCTCTTGACTCAAACACATTACATTCTCCAAGAAAAGAAATAAAGAGTGAAATCAAGATCAAAAAAGGTGAAGTAAACCCGACTTAAATCAAACAGCCATGAAATAATGATGCAGCCCAGGAACAATGTGCTACTTTTTGTGATCTCCTGAGACATTATTAAGCTGCTGTCCTACCTGAGAGGCAGTGGGAAGCACAACCACCCCCATCATCTATTGTTTCAATACAGCCTGTTCTTCTGTGAGTTAGTACGAAATGTGACCAGGAGATAGTGCTGGCACTGGTCTCTGAGTCCAAGATCTGAGCTCACTCCAAAGAGTATTAGTTTTTACCTTCCCATGATCTATCTGTATCTCCACAGGTGATTGGAAGTAGGAGTCAGGTAGGGGATTTGGGTGAGAGGACAAGTTTTATACCATGAGCAGAGCACATTCTCTATTCCAGGGCCTGCATTGGTGGGTTCAGGGGGCTTCCACATTTTCCGTATGATCTCAAGCTCACAGAAAGCCAAATAAGGAAGAGGTTTTAGCCTGATTGTTTAATGGATAAGATAAAGGGTCAAAGAATTAAAGACAGAGAAGTAGAAAAACGATGGATGGTATTCAGGTGCCTTTGTAATTTGTATGTTATATCATATTTATGTATTTTTTATTTTTATTTTTTGAGACAGAGTCCCCCTGTGTCGCCCAGGCTGGAGTGCAGTGGCGCCATCTCAGCTCACTGAAACCTCTGCCTCCAGGGTTGAAGCCATTCTCTTCAGCCTCCCTAGTAACTGCGATTACAGGCATGTGCCAATGCACCGGGCTAATTTTTGTATTTTTAGCACACACAGGGTTTCACCATGTTGGCCAGGCTGGTCTCAAACTCCTACCCTCAAGGGATGCACCCGCCTTGGCATCCAAAAGTGTTGGGTTACAGGCGTGAGCCCCCATGCACAGTCTCACATATTATGTTATTATACTAGGTCCTTTCATTTGCACCACCCCTCGTGTGTCCATTGCTCCTCTGCCAGGTATTGATTTAGATGTAGAAAAAAAGTACATCTCAGAAAGAAATTAATGAAACAAGGATTAAACTACTAGGAAAAATCAAACCCAGCAAGACCTCCCTGCAAATGATTCTACCTCACAAACATATCTTATATCCATCTTTCATTCATTTAGTGTGTAAATCAACTCTACATTTCACCAGTGGGGCGGGAATTGCCTTTTCGACAATCTCCTAGATTCCAGTTACGCACTGGGGCCTCCCTTATTTTCACGTCAGTCACTGTTAATCACTTAGGGATTCCTAGTTAGCCCTGAGTTGAATCCAAGGGCTGAGAGTGTAAAACACACACTCCTTGTTCCTTCTTAGTTTCCTGTGTGCCCAGTGTGTTCTCCGTCTCTCTACAGTGGTCTTGTAATTCTCCCCATCTCATTCCCAGCGTTTCAGGCAGAGCCTCTTCCTTGAACTTAAGAATGTTTCCACCTTTGTGCCTTCACAGCTGAGAGCTCAGTGTGGAAAATCCTTCTGCCAATCTTCCAAGGGTTGAATCCATTTTTTTCATTAAGGTCACAAATATTATCTGATCAGTGAGACCTTCTCTGTCACCTGAAATTATACACTCAGCATTATCTATTATTTATTTTAAATCCTGGCTTGGCACAGTGGCTCACGCCTATAATCCTTGCACTTAGGGAGGCCAAGGTGGTCGGATTACTTGAGATTGGGAGTTTGAGACAGCCTGCACAACACGGTGAAACCTCATCTCTACTAAAAAATATACCAAAAAATTTTAGCCGAGTGTGGTGGTGCGCGGCTGTAATCCCAGCTACTCGGTAGGCTGAGGCAGAAGAATTGCATGAACCCAGGAGGCAGAGGGTGCAGTGAGTTGAGATTGTGCCACTGCACTCCAGCCTGTGGGACAGAGTGAGACTCTACCTCAAAACAAAACAAAAACCAAAAAAACAGATTTGGTGCACAGATGCTTCCCAATGGATCATTCATTTATTGATCCACTTGTGCATTCATTTTCTGCCCTCGTTTTTAACCATCTGCAATATCAGTGTCCCAAGAGCAGAGGCCGAATGCACCCTGTTAACCATTTGTGGAAGGCAGGAGAATGCTGCCCCACCCCAAAATGTCACTGTCCTAGCCTCCATAGCTTGTGAATATATTATTTTACATGAAAGGAGGAATGAAGATTACAGATGGAATTACGGTTGCTAATCAGCTGAACTGAAAAGGAGGGTATCCTAGACAATTTTAGGGAGATTATGATGGATTATCTTGGTGACACCAATAGAATCCCAAAGTCCTTAAAGATGAGAAGGCAGAGTAGCATTCAGAGAAAGAGGTGTGGGTGAAGAAGAGTCTGAATGATGCCATGTGAGACGTGACCAGCCTTCATGGGCTTTGAGGAAGGAGGAAGGAGTCTAGGGGCCAAAGAACGTGGGAGCCTCTAGGAACTGGGAAATGTAAGGAGCAGATTCTTGCTTGGAACCTTAAAAAGAAGTTCAGCCTTGCTGTGCCTTTGATATCAGCCCAGTGAGATGCATTTCGTACTTCTGAGCTATAGTACTGTGAGATAATTAAGAAAAACATGCTTTCATCCACAAAGCTTGTGGAAATTTGTTATGGCAACAATAGGAAAAGATTCCACACTGCACAGCCAGAGCATGGGGCATTGGCTGAACAAGTGAGTGTCATGTGCATAAATGAACTAAATTCTCTGTTACTACAAGTTTCTTGCTCTGCTGAGTCAACCAGGGTTGCGTCATGAGAGACAGGAGCTCATTCCTTGGCAAGTAGAACTTTTCTAAAAACATCCCACCCTCATCAGATGTTCTTTTCACTTCCCTTTCTCAAGCCCCCAGGCATTTATCCTGCAGTTAGGAATGCAGGCAGAAAAAATACTGCATTTTTTTTTTTTTTTTTCTGAGAAGGGTGTCAGATTTGCACTCATCCTTCTAGCCTGGAGGTCTCAGGTGCAGAAAATTAAAGATTAAGAGACTTCACTGAGCCTTGTGTTGGCCCCAGATCCCTTGTGCTGTTGGAGTGTCTAGAGTTCAGAGACAGCAGAACACAGGCCCACAGTCCCAGACGGAGCTGAGCTAACGCTTGAATCCAAGGCTTCCACCTCTCCAGGTTTCCAAAAGCAGAGACAAGAGGGGTTCTTTACTCACCAGTGTTGGAGCTTGGTTCTGTGGGTGAAGACCAAGTACTTGAAGAGTTTCCTAGAACACAGGACAGGAGAGAGGTGTGGAAATGAAGATGCCTGTCTTCTACTCAATGGAAACCTTTAAGGTTGGTTCATGCCCAAACATTCTGTTATCTAATGTTGGGCCCTGGAAGTCCTGGTGTACCCTTCTCCATAATCATTGTATGTGATGCTCACTGTCTTGAGACTTCAAGGTATGAGGAGAAAACAGGAGCATCACACTACCTGACTTAAAAATACGTTACAGAGCTGTAGTAAGCAAAACAGCATGACACTGGCATAAAGAAAGACCCATAGAACAATGGAGGAAAATGAAGAACATAGATGTAATCCACCCATTTACATCCAATGGAGTTTCACAAAGGTTCTAAAGGTCTAAAATCAGGAAGGGACTGTCATTTCAATAAATGGTGCAGGGAAAACTGTATATCTACATGCAGAGGGATGAAACTGCACCTCTGACTCTCACCATACACAGAAATCAAATGAAAATGAATTAAAGACTTAAGGCCTAAACCCATCAAACGTTTAAGAGGAAACATTGGGGAAATGCTCCAGGACATTTGTCTGAAGAAAGACATTTTGTTTAAAACCTCAAAAACACAAACAATCAAAACAAAAATAGACGACTGGGATTACATCAAACTAAGCAGCTTCTGCACCGCAAAGGAAGCAACAAACAAAGTGAAGAGACAACTCACAGAATATTTGCAAAATATGCACTTGAAGGGGATTAACAACTAGAATATATAAGAAGCTCAAACACCTGAATTAAACAAATAATTTAATTATAAAATTAATAAAAGATCTGAACAGACATTTCTCAACGAACAAAACATGCAAATGGACATTGTATATATGAAAAAATGCTCAGTATCAACTAATCAGAGAAATGCAAACTGAATTCACAGTGAGCTATCATCTCACCCCATTACAATGGCTTTTTATCAGAAAGACAGACAAAACAAATGCTGGTAAGGTGGTAGAGAAAGGAGAGCAGCAAGAATATTTTCATCCAAGAAGCTTCTGGAAATTTGTTATGGCAACAATAGGAAAAGATTCCACACTGCACAGCCAGAGCATGGGGTATTGGCTGAACGAGTGAGTGAGTGGAAGTGTCGTGTGCATAAATGAACTAAATTCTCTCTGACTGCAAGTCTCTTGCTCTGCTGAGTCAACCAGGGTTTCATCTGGTACACTGTTGATATGAATGTAAATTAGTACAGCCATTACAGAGGAGAAGAGTATGGAAGTTCCTCAAAAAATAAAACGAGGTTGGGCACGGTGGTTCATGCCTGTAATCCCAGCACATTGGGAGGCCGAGGTGGGTAGATCACTTGAGGTCAGGAGTTGAAGAGCAGCCTGGCCAATATAGAGAAACTCCGTCTCTACTAAAAATATTAGCTGAGTGTGGTGGTGGGAGCCAGTAATCTCAGCTACTTGGGAGGCTGAGGCTAGGGAATCTCTTGAATCCCGGAGGTGCAAGTTGCAGTGAGCCCAGATGGCACCACGGCACTCCAGCCTGGGCAACAAGAATGAAACTCTGTCTAAACAAAAACAAAAACCATAAAACAAAACGTAAAAAGTCAACTTGCACAGGATCTAGCAATTCCACGACTGGGTGTAAACCAAAAGGAAAGGACTTCAGTGTATCGAAGTGATAGCTGCACTCCCATGACTGTTCTAGCACAGTTCACAGTAGCCAAGATGTGGAGTCAACCTACCTGCCCCTCAGTGGGTGAATGGATAGAGAGAATGTAGTACATACACACAGTGGAGACTACTCATCCATAGAAACAATAACATCCTGACATTTGCAGCCACATGGATGGAACTGGAGGTCATTACAAGTATTTCCATTTCTTACTCATATGCAGGAGCTAAAAGGTGGATCTCATGAAAGTAGAGAGCAGAATGGTGGCTACCAGAGCCCAGGAAGGGAAGGGTGGAGGGTAAAAAAAAAAAAACAACAAAAAACTAATTAATTAATTAATTAATTTTGAGAGAGTGTCTCTCTCTGTCTCCCAGGCTGCAGTGCAGTGGCATGATCTTGGCTCACTGCAACCTGTGCCTCCTGCAACTAAGTGCATCTCCTGCCTAACCCTTCCAAGTAGCTGGGACTACAGGCATGTGCCACCATGCTCGGCTAATTATTATTATTATTTTGTATTTTTAGTACAGATGGATTTTCCCCACGTTGCCCAGGGTGGTCTTGAGTCCCTGATCTCAAATGATCCACCTGCCTTGGCCTCTCAAAGTGTTGGGATTACAACCGTGAGCCACTGTGCCCAGCCTATAAATGTATTTATGAACAGTAGACTTCACACTTAAAAATGGTAAAGGAGGTAAATTATATAGGTATATTCCACCTCAATAAATACTTTTCCAAATGAAAAGAAAAGGGTGTAGGGATTGCTGGTGATGACATCTCTCTGTGGGTGAGAGGCCGGGATGGGCTTCTGGGAAATGAGTAAGGTTGAGGGGCTGAGGGAACCTCGGATCTCCCCAAACTGAGCCCAGTCTCCCCTCCTTTGGGTTTGTACTGACAGCTTTCTCCATCTGCCTGGGTGTCGACAGCCCTGAACGCGGACCTCCATGTGGGCTGTGAAGGAGGGTTTGGAGGTGCCCTGTCTGCCATCCTGCACCCTGACCCCACCCTCACACCCAGGCTTTGTCTTCTCTCTGAACCTGTCCATGCTTCTCTCCATCATCAGCAGGAAGTTCCTCAGCTATGGCTCTAGGATTACAAGACGTGGGACAGGCATGGGGTTTCCTCACCTGTGACAGAAATGGGCAGTGGGTCACTCGGGTCTGACCACTCATAGGGTGCGATACGGAAAGAACCGAAGCATCTGTAGGTTCCTCCGTGGGTGGCAGGGCCCAGAGGGAAGTCGGCCTGGAATGTTCCACTGACGCTTGGCACTGCAGGGAGCCTAAGTCCATGGGCTTCCCCATCCCTGGATAGATGGTAAATGTCAAAGGAGCTCTGGGAGCTGCAGGACAAGGTCACGTTCTCTCCTGCCTGAACCATGGGGCCTGGCTGGGCTGACAGAGAAGGTTTCCCGTGTTGACCTGGAAGGAGAAGAGGCAGTTTCCTCAGGGAGGTTCTTCCTTGTCACAGCTCCCCTCACACCTGAGCTGAGAACTCACTCCCCTGCTCTATGACCTAATGCTCTCTCTCACCCTCCACCCCGTCTCTCTTCATGTCTATTTCCTCCTTCCACCTTCTCTGTCTCTCTAGGTCTCTGTCCTCACTTCCCCATCCCTAGCTATGTTTTCTTTTTTGTACCATTTTATTACCTCTGACCCTCCTTGGATTGGTTGACTTAATCTTCCTCTTTCTTTAATTCTGAGTCTCTCATTTTCTGTCTTGTTAATAACTTTCTGCATATTTCTATCTATTATCTATTGATCGATCCATCAATTATCTATGTATGTATGTATCTATCATCTATCATCATCTGTGTATCTATGACCTACCTCTCTGTTAGCTATCATCTATCAATCAATGTATGTATGTATCTATCCATTTATCTATCATCACATGTCTATCTGTCTGTCTTTCTGTCTCTCTCTATTTATGTATCATCTATCTACTTATCTATCTATATCGTCTATCAGTCATTCATCATCTATTTATCTATTACCTATCTCTCTGTTATCTATCATCTATCTCTTATCTTTTATCCATTTATATCTATCTATCATCTGTCTTTCTCCATCTCCTTTTCTCTGCCTCTCAGTCTCTCTAGTTCTCTTTTGGCATCTCTGCAATCCATCTCCATATCTTTATCTTTCCCTGTTTTTGTGCCCCTCCCTCAGGGCTCTGATTTTAGGGCATTCTCTGCTCCCTTCCATCATATGCTCACTGCTCTGCCCTCTTTTTCTATCTCTTTATATGTCTGTGAGTCTCTCAATTCCCTTCTTCTGGCTCATTTTGTGTGTGTGTTCATGTCTTCGCTTTTTGGTTTCCCTGATTTCACTCCGTGTCTCTCTGTGGGCTTTTGTTCTCAGTAATCCTATAACATGTGGTGTTATTTGAATATGAGCCTCAGAATCCAGTCTGGGGACTCCAGGAACTCACAGCATACAGGGGTTGGTGTTCTGCTCCCTCACCTGGGGCCATGGTGTCCTGGGACGATGACAGCTCCACTGCATGGAAGGCAGAGGTTTAAGAAAACACACGGCATCTGGAGGTGCCACAAACCTGGGGCCACAGGGCCCAACTTAAGCCAGATAGACGTGTCTCTTTGGGTTCTCCTGGCAGAGAACACATTGTGGAGGTAAAACAGAATGGAACCTTCTACCCTGTGCCTGGTCTCTGAACAAAGTCAGCATGGAAGGACATCTCTCTCTGGGACATGTCTGTCTCTCTGTGTGTCTTCTTTACCTCTTTATCTCTTTTCCTAACACGCTGTATGGTCCCTGTGTCTGGCTTCTACGTTATGATGTGTGGTCTGTACTTGTGTCTCCTGTTTCTCTACCTCTGTTGGTACAGACCTCATGAAGTCACTTTCTCTCCATGAGAATCCCACACTCATCTTCCTCATGACCACCTGGGGCTTCCAGTCCTAGATCATTCACTCCCTGTCCCTGCAAGGGTGAGAGGCAGGTCTGGATTCTCTCACCTATGATCACGATGTCCAGAGGGTCACTGGGAGCCGACCACTCATGGGGGGAGTGAGCGACAGAACCAAAACATCTGTAGGTCCCTGCAAGGGCAGGCATCATGGGACCCACGAAATAGTTGGCCTGGGAACCCCCATCATGGAGCTGTCCAGTGAGGTGCAAGGGGTCGTCAGTGATCCCCTCTCTGTGCAGAAGGAAAAGCTCAAACCTCATATCTGACCAACATTGCAGGACGACTGTCTCTCCTGATTTCACCAGGGGACCTGGGTGGGCCAGGAGGGAAGGTTTTCTGTAGACTCCTAAGAAGAGAGGTTGTGAGTTCAGATGGCGTCTCCCTTTCTCATCCCATTCATGGGACCTGGAATAAGTGAGGCTTCCCCTCCATGGTGTCTATCTCTCTCCTCCCTGTCTGTGTCTCCATGTTTTTTTCTGTGCCCATAACCCCTGGTGCAGGTCCCTCCATCTGTCTCCCTCCCTCTTCCCTGTCTCTCTGTCTCTAGGACCCCTGATTCCCTTCCCACTGGGCTCAGTGTCATCTCTTAGGCTGTTGTATCTGTTTCCCACTAATCTCTTTGCTGGTGTTTATGTGGGGCTGGAAGAGGAACCATGACAGGCTGTACGTCCAGGCTCTCAGCAGCCTGAATCAATCTCTTTAGGACAAATAGGAATGACTGGCGGGAGGTGTGAACTCATCAGTAAGGCAGGCATCAATGTCCCTGTTCCTGATGGGGGTTGGGGGCCTCTCCTGCCATGTCTGTGCCTTTTCCATGGTCCCAGCTGCCATAGGGTGGCCCCTGGTGCTAGTTCCAGGAGAATCAACCCCTCCCTGTGTGGATCGAGCCTGGTGGTAGCAACAGTATTCCACCTGTGCTGAAATCAGTGTAGCCTACCTTCTCCTTGTTTGGTTTCTTAACTTGTCCTTGACCTGAGTTCCTGTGTTGGTTTCCTGTTGCTGCTGTAGAAAATTATCACAAACATGGTGGCAGGAGAGAATACAATAACCCCTTCCACTAATGGAGAACATAAATCTGACCCAGTTCTCTCTGGGCTAAAATCAAGGCATCTGCAGGGCTATGCTTCCACTGGAGACTCAGGGAGAATCAGTTCCCTTGACTTCTCCAGCCCTTAGAGGCCACCTGCCTTCGTGGCTCATGGCCTTCCTTCACCTTCAAAGCCTGTAGTGAGTCTCCCTCCCAATATGCTGCTCTAATCCCCACTCTCCTCATCCTCCTCCTCTCATGTGGTCCCTTGTGATTACACTGAGCCCAGTTGGACAGTCCAGGTCGTCTCCCCATCTCAAGGTCAACTCATCAACAACCTGAGCTCCATCTTCCCCTTCAGTCCTCTGCCCTATAACATAAAGAGTCACAGGGTCCACGGATTATCATGTAGCCATAACTAGGGACAATTATTCTTCCCATCACAGTACCTATTTTTCTGTACTGAATCCCCCTTTACCCCAAATACAGTCAGATCCTGGGTGATGGGACCCTGGTGGACACCCCCAGCAGAAGCTCGGGGATTCAGGAGGTGGGACAAGGAGAAGCCCAGACAGGAGCCCTCTGACCTGTGACCGTGATCACCAGGGGGTTGCTGGGAGCCGACCACTCAGTGGGGGAGTTCAGGTGTGAACCCCGACATCTGTAGGTCCCTGCGTGTGCCGGGGTCACAGGGCCCAGGAGGATGTCCTTCCAGAATCTTCTGTTGTAGAGCTCAGGGGTAGGCACCCCATCTTCCTTGTACAGACTGAAGATGGTAAACCCAAGATGAGAGTGACACTGAAGACTCACGTGTTCTCCTTGAGGCACCACAGCGCTGGGCCAGGCAGAGAGGAAGGGCTTGTCCTGACCATCTGGGGGAGAAGGAGGCACAGCCTTTAGAGAGGAGGATGTGAAGCAGCCCCTCCCTCCCTGTGCTCAAAAGATTCTCCCCACTTTCCACATTTCTAAGGCTCCTACCACACCTGAGTGCCCAGGGCTACAGGAAGAACCCATCCCTCATAGACATGGCGTCTCCCTATAAGAAAAGTGTCAGCTGAGAACTTTGAGCAAGTGCTAAATAGGCGACTCTTACTAGATTTCAATACTGCAAGATTACTCACACAAAACAACACAAAGTAGACACAGGATGGAGGGCATGACCTTTGTGAATGGAATATCAGCTAATGCATGAACCATAATAAACAACTGAGCCCTCATTAGAAGATCTGAAATGTCAGGGTCATGACTGTGGTTCCCCAGCCCGCTTCTGGTAGAATGACAGCGGCAACACTGCAGCCCCGACCATCATGGAAACGCTGGAGGGTGTGAGTTACGCTCTTGTCCTCAGAGGCCTGCTGTTCTTGCACTGCTTCCCTCCCTTCCTTTACCGGTGACACCACTTCTTCCCCGCACACCGCTGCTTTGAGCACTCCAGTCTCCCCCAGGGTCCCCAAGGACTCAGCCAAGGGAAAGAAAGAACAGGGAGGGCTAGGACAGAACTGTGGGCCAAGCTTCCCATGGCTTCCTTTTCCTAGTTCGTGAGAGATTCCCACATGGCTTCCCATCGTCATCCCATCAGTCAACCCCTTGTGCTGCCTGCCTCATGTTTCAAGAAAATCATCTTATGTGGGGAGATGACAACCTAAGGTTTGGGGAAGGACTCACCCACATGTGGCCAGGCCCTCTGCAGCAAGAAGAACCCTATAAAGAAAGATCATGATGGATGATCCATCTGTACATCACCTCCAGGCCCATATCTCCTCTCCAGACCCATATCTCCACTCCAGGCCCATATCTACAGTTCCAGGCTCATATCTTCACTCCAGGCCCATATCTACAGTTCCAGGCCCATATCTCCATTCCAGGCCCATATTTGCACTCCAAGCCAATATCTCCACTCCAGGCCCATATCTCCACCTCCAGGCCCATATCTCTATCTCCAGGCCCATATCTCCATTGCAGGCCCATATCTAAAGCTCCAGGCCCATGTCTCCACTCCAGGCCTATATCTCCACTCCAGGCCTATATCTCCACTCCAGGCCCATATCTCCACTCCAGGCTCATATCTCCACCTCAGGCCCATATCTTTACCTCCAGGCCCAGATATCCACCCCAGTGCTCCTTCCCTCGATTCCCTTCCAGGACTCACCAACACACGCCATGCTGACGACCATGAGCGACATGGTGCTGCTGGAGCAGACAGGCGGCCGCGCCCCAGCTCAGCTCAGCAGCACACAGGATGTTGTGAGGGGCTCATGCAGTTTACATGCTGACCACATCATGAGAGGATGACGTACGCAGGCTCTTTCTGCCTTGCATGAGGCCCAGTGGGTGTTTGCTCAAGAGTGGAACATGGCTTCCTGGAAATTGTTCCGACTAGAATTGACACCTTGCATCCTTCACTATTACCAACTCAAAACATGTCTCAGATCCAGTCTCTCATACGGGAGATGATTGAATTTTGTGTTGACATGAAAGACTTTTGACGTATTTTTGTTGTTTTCTTCTGAGATTCAAACTCTTCTCCATGTGCTATTTTTGCCCATTCAATATGATGTTGGCTATGGATTTGTCATAGATGGCCCTTAATATTCATTTGGAAACAAGTTGTTAAATCTCCATGTTTTTCTGTAGTTTTAAGAGATGATCTTGGTATTTTTTTCCATTTTTATTATGTGCCTTGTTATGATTTTGATTCTTTGAATTTATTGAGACTTGCTTTGTGGCCAGTCTTAGAATATGATATTTTTTTTGTGTGTGCAGATAAGAAGAATCTGTATTCTGCAGTTGTTGGGTGGAATACTCTGTAGATGTCTCTTAGGTTCAATTGGTCAAGTGTTGTCTTTAAGACCAGAATTTCTTTGTTAGTTTTCTGTTTTAGTGATCCATCTGATGTTGTCAGTGGGATGTTGAAGTCCGTTACTATTATTATGTGACTGTCTAACTCTTTTCATAGGTGAAGAATAACTTGTTTTATGAATCTGTGTGCTTCAAAGTTGGGTACATATATATTTAGAATAGTTAAGTCTTCTTGTCAGATTGAACCCTGTATCATTTTGTAATGCCCTCCTTTGTCCTTCCTGATTGCTGTTGATTTAAAGTGTGTTTCATGTGATATAAGGATAGGAATGCCTTCTCTTTTTTTTGTTTCCTGGTTGCCTAGTAAATATTTCTCCATCCTTCTACTTTGAGCTGCCTGTGGGTGTCATTTCATGTGAGATGGGTCTCTTGAAGACAGCAGGCAGTTGGCTCTTGGCTTTTTATCCATGTTGCCACTCTATGCCTTTTACGTGGGGAATTTAGGCCATTTACATTCAGGGTTCATATTGATATATGAAATTTTGGTCCTATCATTATGTTGTTGGCTGTTTTATAGACTTGATAGTGTAATTGCTTTATATTATTTGTGAGCTATGGCTTGAGTGTGTTTTTGTGGTAGCAGGTTTTTATCTTCTGTTTCCTATTGAGCACTTCACTAAGGATCTCTTGTAATGGTGGTCATGGTGGTCTAGTGCTAACAAATTCTTTTAGTGCTTCCTTGTCAGAGAAGGATTTTATTTCTCTTTTGCTTATGAAGCTTAGTTTGATGGGATGTGATATTCTTGGTTGGATTTTCTTTTCTTTAATAATGCTGAAAACAGGCTCCTAATCTCTTTGGCTTATATGATTTCCACTGAGAGTTCTGCAGTTAGCCTGGTTGGGTTCCTTCTGTAGGTGACCTGCTCCTTCTCTCTAGCTGCCTTTAAGATTTTTTTCTGTTGTGTTGACCTTGGAGGATCTGATAACTGTGTGTATTGGGGATGGTCACCTTGTGTTATATCCCACATGGGTTTTCTGCATTTTTTTTTTGAATTTGTATGTCTTCCTCTCTAGCAAGATTGGGAAAATTTTCATGGACTATGTCCTCAAATATGTTTTCTACGTTGCTTTCTCTTTCTCTTTCTCTTTCAAGAATTCCAATGAGCCATATATTTTGTCTCTCTACATAATCCTATATTTCTCAGAGATTTCATTCATTTTTAAAAAATCTTTTAAAAAATTTTTGTCTGACTGGGTTGATTCAAAGATCTATTTTTCAAGCTCTGAGATTATTTCCCTAGCTTGATCTCTTCTGCTTTTGTTGCTTCTGATTGTATTGTGAAAGTCTTGAAGTGAAGTCTTCAGTTTCAGGAGTTCAGTTTGGTTCTTTCTTAAAATGGATATTTCATGTGTCAGCGCCTAGATCATTTTGCTGGATTCTTTGGATTGGTCTTCATCTTTCTCCAAGATCTTGGTGGGTTTCCTTAGTATCCAGATTCTGAATTCTGTGTCTGTCATTTCAGTCATCTTAGTATGGCTAACAATTGGATTTCTGGGGAACTATCGAGTTGCCAGAGTTCTTGTATTGATTCTTTTTCATGTGTGAGGGCTGGTGTTCCTTTAACTATGATGTAAGTTAAGCATAGTCAGTTGTCTTTATTTCCGGGTATTTTGAGAGGACTGGGACTCATATAGAACCTTTATTTGTGGCTGAGTCTTTGCCTTAGTTTTCACAGGTGCTGTATACTGGAAAAATATTTTGGTGTTGTGTTTTGGTCTGTGATTCAGTAGGTGGTGCTTAAGAATGTTGGCTGGCAGATAGTTTGTTACTCAGCCACATGGCTCCTTCGTATTTTTGTGCAGCTCTCCCCAGCACTCTGTGGTGAGGGCAGAGAAATGACCCCCTCACCTACTCCACTCCTGAGCCTTTGAGGAGCCCCCTTTAATGACCAGCTCCACGACTGTATTTCCTTTGTTAGGTGTTCTAGTCAAAGGTGTGGATGTGATGTCAAAATCACCTCACACCACAAGACGCCCAGCTAATTTTTGAATTTTTAGTAGAGACAGAGTTTTGCCATATTGGACAGGCTGGTCTCGAAGTCCTGACCTCAAGTGATCCACCTGCCTCGGCCTCCCAAAGTGCTGGGATTGCAGGTGTGAGCCCCTGCACCCTGCCAGGGGTTCTTGAGTTGACACATCAATCATCCACTTGGACTGGTGATTGGTAATTCTGATATTGGTCGTTTTCCTAGGGTGGAATTCTCATCCTCCTTCCACGGCCCTGACTTCAAACTTTAGGGAGCAATGAGTTGGATTATTGCTCTGATTTTGAAGGGGAAGCTGATTTGTATTTAAATATTCATTTTTTTATTTTTTTAAATTTTTTTGACCAATTAAAAAATTTGTTTTCAACTAAGTTTATATGAGAAACTAACTCATATAAAACTCAGAGATGGTCTTCTCCTGATATATCTGTTTTATATTTTTATGATTGCCTTTTAAAATATATTGAATGGTTGTAATTCCAGGGACATGTCTTTCAGAACAGTATTTATTCTTATCTATGTGTTTTGGAGAGTGCACTAAGGGACATTGAAGTTTATTTCCTGAAAAGAGTTTAATTTTAAAATGTATTTTATTTAATAACTCAATGATTTTGGAATGTCTAGGTATTTCAGAGATTGTTTTAGACAATTAGTTTTCTTGTGATATGTGATCACTTCATCTAAGCTGAATAATGTCTTCATAATGTCCACTTAGAATCTTTTGAATTCTGTAGGATCTGTACTGATGTCATTGTTTCCTTTCTGATATTGGTAACTTTCCTGGGGTAGGATTCTTATCTCCCCCTGAGGTTCTGCCTCTAAAATTCAGGGAACAATGAGTCGGATTAGTACTTTGATTTCAAAGGGAAAACTGATCATCTACCATTTTTTGTTTGTGTAAATGGACATATTAACATCCCTTGCCTGAACCTTAGTTTCCTTGTTTGGAGCATTTTGCTATAAATCTCATTTCTCAGAGTGATTGTGGGGCTTGATGTGGCTGGGGTATGGGATGAGCTCAAATATAATTTATTTCCAGATCAGGTTAAGGCATGAAGGGGTTGGGACTTGTTAGAATCCTGTTGTTGGACTCCACAGTAAAGGTAGACATTTGAGGCACTCAATTGAAAACCTCAGTTGTTCCTAGCACTGAGAAATTTGATAGAGAGTTTCTAAAACATTATTCGTGGTCTTATGCACAAAAAGTAAAGTGATAGCACCGGAAATAGACAGGGAATCATAAGAAAAAAGAGAGAGCAAAGCTCAGTGGTCACCAGTGCCTGGGACCATCAAGGGGTTATTAAGGAGGAAGTTTCCATTTCTGTGTGGAACAGAAGAGGCTCCCTAGGGTCTTCACAGACAGGGAGTGAGTCAAGACTCAGCGAGGCTGGAAGCTCTGGTTCTCCCTTTTTTTTTTTTCTTTTGAGACAGAGTCTTGCTCTGTCCCCCAGGCTAGAGTGCAATGGTGTGATCTTGGCTCACTGCAACCTCTGCCTTCTGGGTTCAAGCAATTTTCCTGCCTCAGCCTCCCAAGTAGCTGGGACTACAAGTGCCCACCACCATGCTCAGCTAATTTTTATAATTTTAGTAGAGATGGGGTTTCACCTTGTTTTCCAGGCTCATCTTGAACTCCTGACCTCAGGTGATCCACCTGCCTTAGCCTCCCAGAGTGCTGGGATTGCAGGCATGAGCCACCATGCCCGGCCCCTTCTCTGAGATTTTACAGATAGGCTCTGGGATTTCTCAGCTCACTGACCGGAGCCCCTGGTCAGCACTGAGCCACCTCCTCCGTGTGTGTGAAACAGTTTCATTGCAGTATTGTGTGAGGCTCCCATTGGACCCATCATTGCCCCACACAACTGTGGGCAGACACTGAGTTTGGGAAACTGGATGCCATGTGGAAGTAGATGATGGGTTAGGCCTCCCTTTTCAGCTCTCAACTCCAAAGAAAGCCATGAGAGAAACCTTAGGTGGAAGACAAAATGTGAGAGGTGAGCAGTCCAACAAAAAGGACCAAGAAGTATATTTTTTATTTTTATTTTTTGAGATGGAGTCTTGTTCTGTTGCCCAGGCTGGAGTGTGGTGGCCTGATCTCGGCTCACTGCAGCCTCCACCTCCTGGGTTCAAGCGATTCTCCTGCCATAGCTTCCCAAGTAACTAGGATTACAGGCATGCCCCACCATGCCCAGCTGATTTTTTAAATTTTTAGTAGAGATGGGGTTTCACTATATTGACCAGGTTGGCCTAGAACTCCTGACCTCAGGTGATCTGCCCACCTCAGCCTCCCAAAGTGCTGGTATTACAGGCATGAGCCACTGTGCCTGGCCTCAGACTCATGTTTCAAAGTCCCAAATACACATTTGCCCACCTATTCCAGTTATTTAAT